CCAGGGCTGACGTGTGCTGAGGAAGGGGCGAGGGAGGAGAGGAGGGAGAGATGTTTCTGGCATCTCTCGTCAAGCAAAAAAGAATGGTAATTACTTTTTGAAGTGGTTTCTAATCGTGTTGGACACGTGCATTTAAATACTTAGAAGTTTTGTTTGTATCTTTTGCAGGCAATCATTTGATTGGTGATTATCCAGTTGATCATTAAACCCAGTCGAAAGTCCGGATTTTTAAAGCATACAGAGATGCAACATACACAGAAAAAAAGCGGCCTGTGGAATGAATCGTTTTCAATAATGCACCACCAGAAGATGAAATTTTATTATGGGGCTCGGTTCCACAAAGAAAGGCAAAACTGTACAAAGTCAAGAAACCCTAGAAACCTCCTACCCAAGGTGGAGGGCTGCTTACTGGGATCTGGGAAGGTTATGGAAAGGCCCTGGGAAGCTATCTGCAACCTTCACAGATACCAGTAAGTGAGAAAGTGCCTTCCCCACCAGCTTAGTGGATGCTCCAGAGCCCTCACACCTCCTTCCAAGGAGCCACTAAATAAGATGTTGCCATGCTTATCAGGCTTTGGGGAGGCAGTGTGGGGGCTTTTGGATGCTGCAATAACTCTCCCACTCTTTTTCCAAAGCAAGGAAGGACGTGTGGATCCAGAATTGACCTCCACAGTCACTTACGGAGTTCACGGTCACTGTGTTGACGGTCACTGTGTTGACGGTCACTGTTAAGACTGTGTTCATGGAAGACAATCTTACTTGGCTACGAGTGATCGCTAAAGAAGAAGAAGAAGAAGAAGAAGAAGAAGAAGAAGAAGAAGAAGAAGAAGAACTCCCTCTGACTTCTTCTTAAGTAAGGCTTCTCCCCAAGTAAGCGTGCAGGCTAGGATATCACAAAAGCTTCATAGGGGAAATCACAGGCCAGTGCTGGATTTGATTAAGAAGTATATCTGAGAACCAGACATTCAGTTGTGGGGGGAGAGACACGTGATGATGGATTTCTTCCTACCCTACATGCTATTGATAGACACAAGCCATGAGGAACAGTGGAAACCTTAGCCCTCCAATTCCTAACAGCCCCAGCCAGCATGGTCCATTATCAAGACTGATAGTCCAACAAGATCTGGAAGCCCTTAGGCTATTCATCCCTGCCCTTGATAGACCTATTTCCCACGAACTTGTCTAATCCTCCTTCAAAAGTATACACCGGCCAAAGCTCCCTTTTGTGGTTGTCATATATCGTATAATCAAAACCCTACCATTTATTAATTTCTAAGGTTTAGGGCCCCCCCCAAAAAAAAATCAATAACAATATAGATGCTCTGATGTATGCATTATCAAGTATATATAACTGGCATGTGGTCCATTGAAGACTAATAGCTATGACCCAGGAGACCAGCTCCTAGGGAGGTGGCTCAGAGGTGCGCTTTGGATGGAGATGTTTGACACGACTCTATGCAGGCCTCCAGGCCTCTTTAGAAATGAAGTGTAACTCAGCTTGTAATGGGCATGGATGCTTGGAAAGATTTGTCCAGAAGTGGCTTGACAGATGGGCTTGAGTTGCTAAAATAGCTTCCTGGCAGGTGGTTCACACTTGCTTACCAACTTGGAGTTGGTAAAGGAAGTCACCCCGGTAAAGGTAAAGGTAAAGGACCCCTGGATGGTTGAGTCCAGTCAAAGGCGACTATGGGGTTGCAGCGCTCATCTCGCTTTCAGGCCGAGAGAGCTGCAGTTTGTCTGCAGACAGCTTTCCGGGTTATGTGGCCAGCATGACTAGACTGCTTCTGGCACAACAGAACACGGTGACGGAAACCAGAGTGCACGGAAATGTCATTTACCTTCCTGCCGCAGTGGTACCTATTTATCTACTTGCACTGGCGTGTTTTTGAACTGCTAGGTTGACAGGAGCTGGGACAGAGCACCAGGAGCTAACTCTGTCACAGAGATTCGAACCGTCGACCTTCTGATTGGCAAGCCCAAAAGGCTCAGTGGTTTAGACCACAGCGCCACCCCGGTAAACAACAGCAACCCGACTGCCAGGAAGCTAACATAGCATATCTCTTGCCTGACTCTAAGTCACATCTGCATTTGCTGATTGTGAAAGTCAACCCAAAATCATCAGCTGGTGAACTGGCAATTTTACCATTCCACTGAGAAGAATCTGTAAGGCTGATTTTTAGCAGCATAGATCTTCAAGCTCTTACTAGAAAATATCACTTCCAGTGTGTGCATGGAAGGCAGTGTAGTATTTCATCCCCATTTTCAGATTCCACCAGCTGCAGTATATGCTGTATATATTTTCTTTCTTTCTTTCTTTCTTTCTTTCTTTCTTTCTTTCTTTCTTTCTTTCTTTCTTTCTTAATGCACACCTTGCTTTTTGACACACTATCTCTACAAAACAACTTACAGTCCCAAATAAAAACCAGCTCTACCTCACAACAAACTGCATAAATAAAACAGGCTAATTTGGGAGGGCTTGGGAGTAAGGTTTTTGTCAAGTGTTTAAAAAAGATAGCAATGTTTTGACTTGCTTTACTTCTAAGGGAAGAGAATTCTAGAAAACTGGTACCACAACTGCTACCAGATAGCATTTTCCTTGGGAAGCTTAACCACTAGCAAATTTGCTTCTTGCTCAAGAAGCATATCATTCTCATTTCTTGGGCCAAACTTTATCCTCTTCCTCCTCCTGTCAAATGTTTCGATCATCTCCACCCCCAAATCTTCCAGAACTGCTCATTTTACCTTGAGCGCTTCATTAGTTCATTGCAGTGGTTATTCACCTCAGAGTTCAGTTTAAAATTTTCAGGCTCATTTCTCCTTTACAAGAAACCCGAGATTTCCCAGACCTAGACTTCATATGCACCACACTCCATCAGTTCCGCTAATGCAAAAATTATCCACCTGATCTCTACCATTGTTCCTGCAGTAATTGTTGAATCATTGACATATGCCCTGGCGCGATGGTAGCGCAACCCCTCTTCTCATTAATGGGTCTCCGCAGTCCTTGTGCAACTGATTGAACTAGCAGTTTCATTGCTAATCTCAAATATGTTACAGAAGGGGGCAACTTTACTGTAATAACCTTTTGAACCTATTGACAACAGTGACCCCCATCTGCAGCGATAATAACAATGATAAAAACTGCAATGCTTTCTGATGAGCGACTCAATCTTTTTGGGAGTACAAAACTTGCTCATGAGGTTATGTCTCACCTTCTTTCAAAATCATTGGCAACATGTTTCATTCAAATGGGTGGGAATTAGGCTCAAATAGCTGAAGCCATAAAATTCCCTGAGTTCTTCTCATTGACGTACAGAGCCTCATAATCAAAATATTTCTTTTAAAAAGTGAGTGTGCCATCTCTCAGTAATTATGGCTGATTATCTATAGGCCTTATTTCAAATTCCCTGATTTTCATGCATTCCTTCACTGGCTGAATGAATGAATGAATCTTCATTTGCATCAGCTATCGGCCAAAGCAATAAAACAATATACGAAGAATAGAAATAAAAAGTCAATTATATAAAATACATTTTAGGGTTTTGAATCAATAGTAAAATAATGGATCTTATTCTGATTGCCCCAGCTAAAAACCTTGCAACCTTTGCTGTCACCTGCTCATCTTGATCTGCCAAGAGAAAGGACACTGTGGCAGTGGTTGGCAACATAGAATGGACAATAAAAGAGGGGTGATAATCTCATTCCTCAAGTCTTTATAAAGAGTGCAAGCCAGAAGGGCATGCGCCACCGATTCGGTACTGCCATCTCCACAGGGACACAAGCGTTTTTTGTGTGGAATCTGTTAGAATCGTCCCTCAAGTACAGCCGAGGGCAATACATTCAATCTTGCAAGAGTAAAAGCACGTCTATATTTTAGAATTGCTAGGTTATGCAGATAGGGGACCAGAGAGTCAGAATGGGAAGGTGGAAAATAGTCATACCATGGGCAAAATTTCCTTCTTGTGGCCAAGTTGTTCTAAGTGCAGTTGCAAAAAGGGCTAAAAACTGAAACAATTTCGTGGCACCAAATCCCATGGACATAACTGAACCTAATTTCTTCATAAATATGCTCAGGGTTGCAGCTGGGAATGCTGATTTATCCCGGCTTATGATGAAACAGATCAGCAAACTGTGCATGGCTGAAGTCCTCACAATAGCATCCATGGGCACCCGCATTGTGGCAAAAATTGGAAAAGACAAATACAGACCTCCGTCTATTATTTCTCATCAAAACATTATATACTGACACATCAATACAAGTAAAGGTGGATCTGGCTGGCCATCTCACCACTAGAATTAAGACCATTACTGGAGTCAAACAGGGATGCATTTTGGCACCTTTCCTGTTCAGTTTTTATATTAATGACATGGTTAAAGAACTGGAGGGCCTACAGTTTGCCCCTGTCACAATTCTCGACCAAAAACTCTCAGTTTTAATGTATGCTGATGACCTAGTACTTGTATCTAGAACCCAGGTGGGCCTGAGACGGCTGCTTGCAAAATTAAGTTCATATTGCACGAGGAATGCTTTATCTATAAACTATGATAAGACGCAGGTCATTGTATTTGGGAAGCGTTCTAAAAAGCATGTTTGGCACCTGGATGAACACATCATAAACCAAGTAAATACGTTTAAATATCTGGGATTGATTTATTCAGAAATGGCATCTTGGAATACACAGCTATCCAATATTAAATTGCAAGCCTTTAAATCAGCAAAAGCCATTCTGAAATTTGCTGTCTGTAAAGGTGGAAATCTGGTCAACCCAGCTCTATCTGTGTATAAAGCAAAAACAATGGCCCAGATTTTATATGGTGCAGAGGTTTGGGGTACCTCAAAGGTCTCCGGTCTGGAACCCCCACAGAATTATTTTTTAAGAGTTCTTTTAGGTTTACCCAAAGACGTGCAATCTGCCATGGTCAGGTTGGAAACTCGCATGTTGAGCATAGAGAGCCAAATAGATAAAAGAATTCTCTGTTACTGGTTTAGAGTTCAACAGATGGACAACACTAGGCTACCCAAAAAATGCCTGATTGAGCTCTCAAATGGATTACCCCTTAAAAACTACCGGTAGGTAAATCATGCTGCCCAACTGATGGGCAAATATGACCTCTCAGTGACTGAGATTAAAGAACTCCCCTTATATTTACAGAAAAATATTTTTAAACGAACCATAAGGGCAGTGGCAACTAAAAACGATCTAAACTCTATGTGCACATCTACATGCGCCCCATTGTATTTTAAACTTAGAGAGGTCAATGAACACATATCTTATTTTAATGAATTGACTTTTGCACAGCTTCGAAAAGCTTTTACAGAGCTACGACTAAATACAATAAGCTCTGCTTATAGAGATGGGAGACATAGAGGCATACCAAAAAACGAACGTGTTTGCATTAGGGGATGTTCTGAAGTAGAGGACCTTATGCATTATATCTTGCACTGTCCATTATATAATGATGCAAGAAAAAGATTTTTGGTACCTATAATGACAGGGTCCCCTGGCCAGAACCCCCTTGACATGATGTTATATCTCCTTGCAGACACAGATAAGTATGTGACCTGGCGGGTAGCACTTTTTGCAACTGCTGCTAGGAAAATTAGAGCAAATTATATAGCCAAGGTAGCCATTAATTGTAAAGGAGATGAATTTATTTGATCCCATCTATCTACCTCAGGCTATGCTCTATCTTTGTCACCAAACTCTGAGTATAAATTGCACACTGTATTAATTGATATTGTTTTTAACATTAGTGACCATGTGATGATTTTAGCTTATGAATTTTATTGTTTAATGTTTTTATTTGTACATTGAGGTACTTTTATAGCTTTGTTTAGAGTACGTAATGTTTTAATAATATAAATGTTTTAAGTCTTTTTTTACCAATTCAGTATATTTTCTTTTCATTGTCAAATAATTCTGTGTACATTGCGGCAGCCTTTGGCTATGTGCAATAAAACTGACTGAGAAAACTGACTACCCCTCCTGTTTTTTATGATTTAAAATTTTAAGAGGTGAACTCTGGTTTCCAACCTTTCTTTCTTTCTCTTTCCCAGAATGCCCCTGGGTCCCATCTTTGGGCCAGAGATGTGTTTTGATGGACAAAAAGGGCAGGGAAATTATGAAGAGAAGCACAGTCAAAATGTATACGGTGAGAGAAGAAGAGTCATAATGAAAAAGGAAATATAAACTGGGCACTTGATACCTGAAGGAGCGTCTCCACCCCATCGTTCTGCCCGGACACTGAGGTCTGGCACTGAGGGACTTCTGGCGGTTCCCTCATTGTGAGAAGCAAAGCCACAGGGAACCAGGGCTTTCTCGGTAGTGGCACCCGCCCTGTGGAACGCCCTCCCATCAGATGTCAAAGAGATAAACAACTACCTGACATTCAGAAGACATCTTAAGGCAGCCCTGTTCAGGGAAGTTTTTAATGTGTGACATCTTAGTGTATTTTTGGTCTTTGTGGAAGCCGCCCAGAGTGGCTGGGGAAACCCAGCCAGATGGGCAGGGTACAAATAATAATAACAATAACAATAATAATTATATAAAGAAGTGTCAAGGCACTGAAGCACAAATTAATTCCCTATGGTTGAGGGGGATGTGTACCTAGAGGAAGACCTAAGCAAAACGAACTCCAGGAGGAAGCATGCAAGATAAGAAGCAATATGAACTGGAGATTGTGTGTAAGGCAGGAAAATGGCAGTGTTGAAGCTAAAAAACATTTAAGTTATTCGTCATAATCGATAGAAGCAAGGGACATGGAAACGTACACAAGTAAACTACCAAATGCCTCACAAAAGCAAATGTCCATTTCATGCTATTCATCCACTCTGACAGGTGGGAAAGTTACCCTTTGTATATTTCCTTGCATTTTTGCCACAGGTGGTTATTTCTGAGATGCAAAAATAAAAGAATGAAATGGACTCATGGACTGCAGCTGCAGGCTTCCTTTGCCTTTTAGTGCAAACCTGAAAATATTTAATTTTGAGATATTTTCCTCCTCACAGTTTGGCCTGAGACACACTTAATGTTGCTCAGTATCTCACTCATAATCCTTAATAAGGATTAGGATCTCCATGTTCAGAACACCAGATCACATTTGTAACTAAAATCTGCAAGGTCAACCAGAAAGTGTCTCTTCACCTGACATTAAGGCTGCCTTCAGTTGATTAATGCAGTCAACTTAGCCTATTGAGATGTAAAATGAAGCAGTTTGTATACACTCTCTATTACCCAGAGGCTATCATTTTCAAAGTCATTCCTGGCACCTAGTACAACACAGAAATTGAAAAAGTTGGAGCCAACAATTTTTCATTTTGAAATGCCTTCTTTAAAGTTGGAAGATACATATTTAATGGTTCACCTGAAGGAAGAACCTTCTATTTTCTTTAGAGACAGTAACTAATTTATAGAGACATTTGGGATTTAAGGTACATCACTGCTAAAAGGGAGTCTGCTAAGCTGGTGTGGAGACCTTCCTATAAATTGTATTTGTTTCTAATTATGCTCCAAAATTTCAGGATGCTAAAGATAGAGGTTTGATATATATATTTGGTGATTTATGAACGGTTCGCACAAGTAACAGCCTCAGTTTTGCTGCTCTTGATTAAACATTGATCCTGATTAAAATGCAAACATAATTTTAAGGTGTCAGAAATATCTGAAAGTGTATAATGAAGAATAATTTCCATCGGTATATAGATGTAACCCACTGTTAGAAAACTAAGACTGAAGTTGTTCCTGCACACCTGAAGTATCTTTGAAGCAAACAGACTTAGCAGTAGTTATCAGGTATCTTTCCACCATTATCTATTTCCTTACCTTACTCTGACCCCTTCAGGTAAACATTTCTAGAGAACAAAAGGACATTGCAAAGCAGAGGAGAGGAGAACTGAGAACAGGGATACATAGCAATATAAACATACCCCCCAAAAAAGAAAAAAGATTTTGCACACTGGAAATTTTAATTCCACATCCGGTAGCTGACCTGGGAAGATTGGGGTTTGCGTCCTCACAACTGGAGATGTGGAAAAGGTCTAACTCCAATGTGCATCAGTTATGTGGAGAAGCAAATACAGTGGTACCTTGGGTTAAGAACTTAATTCTTTCTGGAGGTCCGTTCTTAACCTGAAACTGTTCTTAACCTGAGGTACCACTTTAGCTAATGGGGCCTCCCACTGCCACCGAGCAAATTCTGTTCTCATCCTGAAGCAAAGTTCTTAACCTGAGGTACTATTTCTGGGTTAGCGGAGTCTGTAACCTGAAGTGTCTGTAACCTGAAGCGTCTGTAACCCGAGGTACCACTGTAAATGACATCTCCCACCTAGAGATGCTAGCAATGAGACAAGAGACTGTCTACAGACAAAGCAGATGATCTACCACTGAGCTACGGTCCTTCTGGATGTAAAAGGTAAAGTAAAAGATCCCTGGATGGTTAAGTCCAGTCAAAGGTGACTATGGGGTTGTGGTGCTCATCTTGCTTTCAGGCCAAGGGAGCCAGCGTTTGTCCACAGACAGCTTTCCGGGTCATGTGGCCAGCATGACTAAACTAGTTCTGGTGCAATGGAACACTGTGACGGAAACCAGAGTTCATGGAAACGCTGTTTACCTTCCTGCTGCAGTGGTACCCATTTATCTACTTGCACTGGCATGCTTTCAAACTACTAAGTTGACAGGAGCTGTGACAGAGCAACAGGAGCTCACTCCATTGTGGGGATTCGAGCCACCGACCTTCTGATTGGCAAGCCCAAGAGGCTCACTGGTTTAGACCACAGCGCCACCCACGTCCCTTAATTTACCTTTACCTTCTGGATTCTCCTGCAGGTTTCTCCCATCATTACTGACCATTAGGAACGGTGTGGGTTGACTCAACCCCCCAAGCAGGCAATTAGCAGAAGTCCAAATTACACCAGGAGAGAGGGACGGAGGGCACCGTAGAAAGCAGAGATTGGGAAGCAGCAGCAAATATAGAGGCTGCTTATATATTTTGTTTTTGTTTTTTCATATAATTTTTTATTATTTTCCTTTAAACAACATTTCCAACATTACATAAACAAACACACAAAAAACCTTTTTGCTCTGCAGAACTACGAATTCCTTCCTTCCCTTCAACAGGTATCCCATATCAAATCCAATCGCGCAATTTAAATCATTACTATGTGTCATCATTGTAGGATTTATTTCAATCCTGCTAGTGTCTTTAAATTTTTGCAATTGTCATTCAAATATACAATGAATTTACTCCAGTCTCTTTGGAATTTCTGATTGTCCTGGTCTCGGATCCTGCAAGTCAGTTTGGCCAACTCTGCAAAGTCCATCATCTTCGTCTGCCACTCTGCAATAGTAGGTACTTCTTGTAATTTCCATTTTTGGCTGCTTACATATTTTGAAGAGCAAAAAAATAGGACACATTTAATGTCTTCTACTTTTAACTATGGATCGCTATGACGACTCTGCCCATGAAAAAAGAGGATGTGTCCTGGAAAAAGAGGACATATGGCAAACCTCCCATCAGATAGGCAAATTCGGACTCACTGTCAGCTCTCAACTCCTCCCAAGGGGTCCTTGTTCCTGGGGGAGTTGGAGTGCGGCAAAGATGCCCCCATTTAAATTGGGAGTGGCACTGCTGAATATGCTGCCCCTTTTGCGTGTTGAGGTCCCCAAGCCACCCCAATAACTCACACATCACACATAATTTTTGTTTAAGGTTTTTGGCATAATTTTGGCCACAACTTGATTTACTGTGAGTGGTTACTTAGGCATTGGATCCGACTATCTGTCCCCGCCCTGGGACAGAACTGGCTTCCGGATTCCAGCGAAAGCCAGTCAGGGAAAACAATATTGGGGAGAAATGAAGCTGGGCACCAGACCCTCACCTCTCCCCGCATGCTCCCAGGGGCCCAAACCCGATGCCAGGGATTTGGACAAAGGCATGGCAAGCCCCCGGATTCCTTTAACGGAATTCCCTTGCAGCACCAGCATTGGAGGGGTAGGCACTTACCTCTCCACCAACCAATTTTTTAACCAATGCCTAACCGCAAACATTACAAGTTGTGACGATTTGCTACGCAGTAGGCAAAAACCAAATGGCTCCAGCCAATCAGCCAAATGGACAAAATTCCTACCAGGCCCCTGCCCCAAAAGCAGGCGACCCCATGACAGGCATAGCAAGGTCAAGCGCTAAATCCCCATTTCAAGGAGGGTGGGCGTTTGATCCGGTGCACACAGCAAAAGAGAAAGTCCAAAGCTGAGTGACCTCTATTTAAAACCTTTGAGTCCAACCCACAAATTGGCAACATCAAAATCTCCCCAGAAACACATGTACCCAATCACAGCCTGTGGCCATCCAAACAGATCACCCCAGCAACAGTGGGGTGGCCTGCTATACCCGACCGCAACACGTGCTCTCTATTAGTGAGAACACGCTTTGTTTAATTATCAATCTCTGTTGGGTGCCACTTGTAAGAGAATTCCCATGCCAGTTGGTGAACCCATCTAGAGGGCACCAGGTTGTAGAAGTCTGCTTTAACTTCTTGTTGTTTTCTGGGTGTATAGAGATACACAGAGAGAGAGAGAACCCAAGGAGGTTTCCCTTTTTGGAAGCCACTGTCACATCATTTTGAATACAATTTGTATTGCCAGTCACACACGACCAATTCAATTATCTCTGTGAAATATACATAACGGTGCAATTCCGTATCTTCCCACTGCCAAGAAAGTCCTATTGAGTTCAATGAAGCTTACTCCCAAATAAGGACGTATAGGATTGCAGCGTAAATATATTAGCAAGAAAACCTATTAGGAGTCTTTTGAAGGAAGTGAATTGAGAGAATCAATCTCGCCTTCAGATTCACATTCTACAATGGCAGCTCAGAAACCGCGTCAGTTTGGTGTTAATTAGAAATAGGGAAATATTTGAAGCTTTTTTAATTTCCCACGAGAAAAATCCCTAGGTAATGAGCACATTTTTCCCACCACTAAGCAGAGTTTGTTTTTAAAAATATCTTAAAGCTGATGTACTTCTATTGAGTATTTAATAGTATAACTAGCAACTAGCATTGGGTTTGAAACTGCCTTGGCAATTCAGTGTAACATTTACATTGGAATGTAAACTATTTGGAATGAAGTTAACAGGCACCCTGAAAACTATATTAAACAGGCTCACATAAATTACACCAGATAAAAGTTAT